GTTATCGATACGTTTGCATTTACATGTATAAGGAATCTTAGACTTAGAAATTTTCGAATATGTTTTCTGTATCCTTTCACATGTCATAAAAAACCATTTGTTTGGATGAACAACTATTTTCGAAAACAAAACACTCATTCACAAGGTAGATTTCAACAACGACCTGTGTATTGTTATCTGCGAACACCAATTATTCATATGGTTTTGAAGACAATGTAATACCGCTCAAGTATTTCTGAATCACAAGATTTGAAAGTATTTTACTACCCACCCAACCCCACTTTTTCAGTAAATGAGCTAATTACATGATTTGTACATTATAGATTCATATATGCATTCAAATTCCCAAATTACAAGTAGAAAGTATCCGTATGTAATTCTGTCCTGAATGCTCAACTCTTTTACATTTCGAATAACTGCTTTTATAGAGACAGTTGATTCACAAGGGTAAAATAGTGTTTATTCATGAAATCGAAAGGCATAATATATCTACAATTGAGACAAATATCCACAAACAGAGATATATATCAGATAACGCTCCAGTCTGAACAGATACGATGCGAATTGCACAGACAGTATCCCACAATTATCGGACCAGATTCCGGGTAAATTCGGACCTAATGGAATAGATAAAACAATAGTCTGTTTCTTTTTGCATTTCAACATGTTTGAACGTCAAGTAAGTAAGTGAGAAAAGACTGACATGTTTTCTTTCTGATATGTAAATGCAAGGTGATGTGGCAATTATAGTCGAAAGCACGTCCATGACAGAGCTAGCAGTGTTTAGCAAGTTTACTGCTTGTTGAGACTGTAACACAAAGTTTTAGAGCGGATCGATATTCCGCCACACAAAAGCTAATCGCCAATGTTCATTTGATATGAGTTCTCTGATAACGAGACACCTTTGTGTAATGGAAGCACAAGATACATTTCCAACTGTTACTGTTCAGGTTGCATGAGCGACTAAGATGCTGGGCCTAGATTTTCGAAGCTCTCTTAGCGCTAAGATAGTCGTAAGTTAATGTTAATGTATGGCACTTGATCGATGTGACGTCATGATGTTTGCTTTACAGTACAGTGTGACGTCATAAACGCGATAACGGGGATAGATCTAAACACTTTGGGTGCTTTGCTCAATTTTCATTATCGTGTTGGTTGTATTTTATCTTGATTTTCAAAGCACCTGTGCTACCCACTTTTCATTGACTGTCATACATTGAAATAAGGTATCACTTAGAATATACATGGCCTTGTTTTGAGTGTTAAAAGAGGATACTGAATCGGAAGTAACTTGTTTCCTTAACACGTCTGTACAGGGGAGTTCACGTTTAGGTTTGGTTTGATTGTTGTTTAACGCCGCACTCAGCAATATTCCAGCTATATGGCGGCGGTCTGTATTTAATCCAGTCTGACAATCTAGAGATCAACAGCATGAGCATCAATCTACGCAAGTGTGATAAGTTAGCGAGTCTGACCGCCCGATCCCGTAAGTTGCCTCTTACGACAAGCATGGGTTGCTGAAGACCAATTCTAACGTGGATCTTCACGGGTTGTTCACATTTAGTCAGCGGTGAACAGACAATTTATCTAAGTTAATGAGCCGTCATTGATTACCTTTTATTTCAGATCGACAACACGCTCAAAGCACTGAACTCAAAACCCTTGCCGTTCCGACATTGCGTGTAAATATGTAACGATAGAATGGAAAGAAACGAACAGTGTGTTTATCTCTAATACGCCCAAGTCAATGGATGGTTTTATTCTCAATAGCATGTCTTTCGTGAACGCTCAATTATATACTGCATTACTAACAATAATGTGTTTTCTAATATTACGAATTTTCTCGTTCTGATTCGAAGACAACGGTACAACACGGGATACTGCACGCTTACTGTCCAACATTGGATTTTTGCCACAGTCATGCACGTGCATTTGGACCAATTTTCCACAGTTTTTCACGCTTTGAAAAATGCACGATTCGTACAAGTTTTCGGACAGCTGCGATGTCATCGGGACCATGTTGCGTTTGGCGAATGTATTCTGCTTGAGTTCAATCCTGTACCAACGTTTTGGTGTTTTTTTTACAATGACTTTAAAAGTGATAACTTTATTTCGTCCAGATGTTTATGTAATGAGAAATCTTACATAACAATAAGACCAGCAGGAACTTGTGTGTGTTTAGATCACATTTTCACCCGAGATATCCAGGTTCAGCCAATTTGGGAAGCTTGGCCACCTGCCAGGTGAATATCATCGCATTTTGCAGTACGTTTCTATAACTGAGTTTGGTTTTACGCCGCTTTTAGCAATATTCCAGCAACATCACGGCGGGGGACACCAGAAATGGGCTTCACACATTGTGCCCATGTGGGGATTTGAACCCGGGTCTGCGGCGTGACGAGCAAACGCTTTAACCATTAGGCTACCCCGCCGCCCCCGTTTCTATAACACGTGTTATAGACAGAAATGTGGACAGAAATTCCTTCCAAAATCCAAATGACAATCTTCACTCTGGTTACTTGATGACTAAATATGCAGGCATAATCTACCCGTCATGGTGACAGTGATGTCAGAGAGGTTGTCACAGACACGATAACAGACTAATATATGTATAGCGCCATTATCCAGTACAACTGCTCAAAGGCGCTTTGTTTTTTCCCCTCGATCATTGGATGTCAATCTCAACGGAAAAATTTCAATCTCAACTCCCTGGGGATCATACAACTCTTGCAATAATTAGGCGCACCAAGATAATGTGGCTTTCCCATCCTTACGAGGTACCCATTCACAGCTGGGTGGACTGGGACACACAGCCACAGTACTCCTTGGAAGTTCACTGCACGTTGCTGTACCCGCAACTAGGTGTTTGCACGTATTCATGTGCCCACCATCTGGATTCGTGGGTTCTTTTAAGTGCTCAGGGTTGTGTACTGTACACTAGGGGTTGTGACAACACTGAAAGAGTCTGCACTCTGGGCTCGATCCAGGCACCTTAAGCACGCTGAGTCACTAGCCTATGACCTTAGACAGCTCGGACAGCTCGCTCACCGCGCCCCCTGACAAAATGACAGATGTTGGCAAGCTTCTCATCGTCATGATGCTATATGTCGGGTACTTCTGAATATTACCGAGTCGTGTCAGGTCGTTCCCACTACTTGGTTATAGATGTCAGGTACTTCTCCGTGTCACAGTTACAGATGTCGGGTACTTCTCCCTGTCACGGTTACAAATGTCGGTACTTCTCTCTGTCATGGTTACAGATGTCAGGTACTTCTCCGTGTCACAGTTACAGATGTCGGATACTTCTCCCTGTCACGACTACAGATGTCAGGTACTTCTCCCTGTCATGGTTGCTGATGTCAGGTACTTCTCCCTGTCACGACTACAGATGTCAGGTACTTCTCTCTGTCATGGTTACAGATGTGAGGTACTTCTCCCTGTCATGGTTACAGATGTCGGGTACTTCTCCCTGTCACGACTACAGATGTTGGATCCTTCTCCTTGTCACGGTTACAGATGTCGGGTACTTCTCCCCGTCATGGTTACAGATGTCGGGTTCTTCTACCTGTCATGGTTACAGATGTCAGGTACTTCTCCCTGTCATGGTTACAGATGTCGGGTACTTCTCCCTGTCATGGTTACAGATGTCAGGTACTTCTCCCTGTCATGGTTACATATGTCAGGTACTTCTCCCTGTCATGGTTACAGATGTCGGGTACTTCTACCTGTCACGACTACAGATGTCGGGTACTTCTACCTGTCACGACTACAGATGTTGGGTACTTCTCTCTGTCATGGTTACAGATGTCAGGTACTTCTCCCTGTCACGGTTACAGATGTTGGGTACTTCTCTCTGTCATGGTTACAGATGTTGGTACTTCTCCCTGTCATGGTTACAGATGTTGGGTACTTCACGATGTCATGGTTACAGATGTTGGGTACTTCTCGCTGTCATGGTTACAGATGTTGGGTACTTCTCCCTGTCACGGTTACAGATGTTGGCTACTTCTCCCTGTCATGGTTACAGATGTCAGGTACTTCTCCTTGTCATGGTTACAGATGTCAAGTATTTCTCCTCAGAGATGTATTGTACCATCACGGTTACAGAGGTCGTCTACTCTCTTTCCATCACGGTTACAGAGGTCGTCTACTTTTTTTCCATCACGGTTACAGAGGTCGTTTACTTTCTTTCCATCACGGTTACAGAGGTCGTCTACTTTCTTTCCATCACGGTTACAGAGGTCGGGTACTTTCTTTCCATCATGGTTACAGATGTTGGGTACTTCTCCTCAGAGATGTATTGTACCTTCTTTACTTCATGGTGACAGATGTTGGGTACCTCTTCAACGTGATGGTGACAGATGTTGGATACCTCTTCAAAGTGATGGTGACAGATGTTGGGTACCGCTTCAACGTGATGGTGACAGATGTTGGGTACCTCTTCAACGTGATGGTGATAGATGTTGGGTACCTCTTCAACGTGATGGTGACAGATGTTGGGTGCCTCTTCAACGTGATGGTGACAGATGTTGGGTACCTCTTCAAAGTGATGGTGACAGATGTTGGGTACCGCTTCAACGTGATGGTGACAGATGTTGGGTACCTCTTCAACGTGATGGTGACAGATGTTGGGAGCCTCTTCAACGTGATGATGACAGATGTTGGGTGCCTCTTCAACGTGATGGTGACAGATGCTGGGTACCTCCTCACTGTGATGATGACAGATATCAGGTACATCCTCAACGTGAGCCTTCAGTAAACCATGCTTGTCGTAAGAGGCGACTAACGGATCGGGTTAGTCGCAGGTCGATGCTCATGTTGTTGATCAATGGATTGTCTGGAACAGACTCGATTATTTACAGTCCGCCGCCATATAGCTGGAATATTGTTGAGTGCAGCGTAAAACTAAACTCACTCACTCATTCCTTAACGTGACGGTGACAGGTATCGGGTACCTCCTCATCGTGATGGTGATAGATATCGGGTATCTCCTCAACGTGATGGTGATAGATATTGGGTATCCCCTCAACGTGATGGTGATAGATATCGGGTACCTCCTCAATGTGATGGTGACAGATATCGGGTATCTCCTCAACGTGATGGCGATAGATATCGGGTACCTCCTCAACGTGATGGTGATAGATGTCGGGTACTTCCTCACTATGATGGTGATAGATATCGGGTACCTCCTCACTATGATGTTGATAGATGTCGGGTACCTACTCAACGTGATGGTGATAGATGTCGGGTACTTCCTCAACGTGATGGTGATAGATGTCGGGTACTTCCTCAACGTGATGGTGATAGATGTCGGGTACCTCCTCAACGTGATGGTGATAGATGTCGGGTACTTCCTCAACGTGATGGTGATAGATGTCGGGTACCTCCTCAACGTGATGGTGATAGATGTCGGGTACTTCCTCAACGTGATGGTGATAGATATCGGGTACCTCCTCACGATGATGGTGATAGATATATGGGGAACCTCCTCAACGTGATGGTGATAGAAGTCAGGTACCTCCTCACTATGATGGTGACAGATATCAGGTACCTCCTCACTATGATGGTGATAGATATATGGGGAACCTCCTCAACGTGATTGTGATAGATGTCGGGTACCTCCTCAACGTGATGGTGATAGATGTCGGGTACCTCCTCAACGTAATGGTGATAGATGTCGGGTACTTCCTCAATGTGATGGTGATATATATATGGGGAACCTCCTCAACGTGATGGTGATAGATGTCGGGTACCTCCTCACTGTGATGGTGATAGATGTCGGGTACCTCCTCAACGTGATGGTGATAGATGTCGGGTACTTCCTCAACGTGATCGTGATAGATATCAGGTATCTCCTAACTATGATGGTGATAGATATCGGGTACCTCCTCACTATGATGGTGATAGACAGATGGGGAAAATCCTCAACGTGATGGTGATAGATGTCGGGTACTTCCTCAGCGTGATGTTGATAGATGTTGGGTACCTCCACAACGTGATGGTGATAGATATCGGGTACCTCCTCGTCATGATGGTGATAGATATCGGGTACCTCCTCAACGTGATGGTGATAGATATCGGGTACCTCCTCAACGTGATGGTGATAGATATATGGGGAACCTCCTCAACGCGATTGTTATAGATATTTGGGGAACCTTCTCAACGTGAAGGTGATAGATGTCAGGTACCTCCTCAACGTGATGGTGATAGATATCGGGTACTTCCTGACTATGATGGTGATAGATATATGGGGAACCTCCTCAACGTGATGGTGATAGATATCGGGTACTTCCTCAACATAATGGTGATAGATTTCGGGTACTTCCTCAACGTGATGGTGATAGATATCGGGTACTTCCTCATCATGATGGTGATAGATATATGGTGAACCTCCTCAACGTGATGGTGATAGATGTCTGGCACTTCCTCAACGTGATGGTGATAGATGTCGGGTACCTCCTCAACGTGATGGTGATAGATATCGGGTACCTCCTCAGCGTGATGGTGACAGATATCGGGTACCTCCTCACGATGATGGTGATATATATCGGGTACATCCTCAACGTGATCGTGATTGATATCGGGTACCTCCTCAACGTGATGGGGATAGATATCGGGTTCTTCCTCAACGTGATGGTGATAGATATATCGGGAAACTCCTCAACGTGATATTCCAGCAACATCACGGCGGGGGACACCAGAAATGGGCTTCACACATTGTGCCCATGTGGGGATTTGAACCCGGGTCTGCGGCGTGACGAGCAAACGCTTTAACCATTAGGCTACCCCGCCGCCCCCGTTTCTATAACACGTGTTATAGACAGAAATGTGGACAGAAATTCCTTCCAAAATCCAAATGACAATCTTCACTCTGGTTACTTGATGACTAAATATGCAGGCATAATCTACCCGTCATGGTGACAGTGATGTCAGAGAGGTTGTCACAGACACGATAACAGACTAATATATGTATAGCGCCATTATCCAGTACAACTGCTCAAAGGCGCTTTGTTTTTTCCCCTCGATCATTGGATGTCAATCTCAACGGAAAAATTTCAATCTCAACTCCTGGGGATCATACAACTCTTGCAATAATTAGGCGCACCAAGATAATGTGGCTTTCCCATCCTTACGAGGTACCCATTCACAGCTGGGTGGACTGGGACACACAGCCACAGTACTCCTTGGAAGTTCACTGCACGTTGCTGTACCCGCAACTAGGTGTTTGCACGTATTCATGTGCCCACCATCTGGATTCGTGGGTTCTTTTAAGTGCTCAGGGTTGTGTACTGTACACTAGGGGTTGTGACAACACTGAAAGAGTCTGCACTCTGGGCTCGATCCAGGCACCTTAAGCACGCTGAGTCACTAGCCTATGACCTTAGACAGCTCGGACAGCTCGCTCACTGCGCCCCCTGACAAAATGACAGATGTTGGCAAGCTTCTCATCGTCATGATGCTATATGTCGGGTACTTCTGAATATTACCGAGTCGTGTCAGGTCGTTCCCACTACTTGGTTATAGATGTCAGGTACTTCTCCGTGTCACAGTTACAGATGTCGGGTACTTCTCCCTGTCACGGTTACAAATGTCGGTACTTCTCTCTGTCATGGTTACAGATGTCAGGTACTTCTCCGTGTCACAGTTACAGATGTCGGATACTTCTCCCTGTCACGACTACAGATGTCAGGTACTTCTCCCTGTCATGGTTGCTGATGTCAGGTACTTCTCCCTGTCACGACTACAGATGTCAGGTACTTCTCTCTGTCATGGTTACAGATGTCAGGTACTTCTCCCTGTCATGGTTACAGATGTCGGGTACTTCTCCCTGTCACGACTACAGATGTTGGATCCTTCTCCTTGTCACGGTTACAGATGTCGGGTACTTCTCCCCGTCACGGTTACAGATGTCGGGTTCTTCTACCTGTCATGGTTACAGATGTCAGGTACTTCTCCCTGTCATGGTTACAGATGTCGGTACTTCCCCTGTCATGGTTACAGATGTCGGGTACTTCTCCCTGTCACGACTACAGATGTTGGATCCTTCTCCTTGTCACGGTTACAGATGTCGGGTACTTCTCCCCGTCACGGTTACAGATGTCGGGTACTTCTACCTGTCACGGTTACAGATGTCAGGTACTTCTCCCTGTCATGGTTACAGATGTCGGTACTTCTCCCTGTCATGGTTACAGATGTCAGGTACTTCTCCCTGTCATGGTTACAGATGTCAGGTACTTCTCCCTGTCATGGTTACAGATGTCAGGTACTTCTCCCTGTCATGGTTACATATGTCAGGTACTTCTCCCTGTCATGGTTACAGATGTCGGGTACTTCTACCTGTCACGACTACAGATGTCGGGTACTTCTACCTGTCACGACTACAGATGTTGGGTACTTCTCTCTGTCATGGTTACAGATGTCAGGTACTTCTCCCTGTCACGGTTACAGATGTTGGGTACTTCTCCCTGTCATGGTTACAGATGTTGGTACTTCTCCCTGTCATGGTTACAGATGTTGGGTACTTCTCGGTGTCATGGTTACAGATGTTGGGTACTTCTCGCTGTCATGGTTACAGATGTTGGGTACTTCTCCCTGTCACGGTTACAGATGTTGGCTACTTCTCCCTGTCATGGTTACAGATGTCAGGTACTTCTCCTTGTCATGGTTACAGATGTCAAGTATTTCTCCTCAGAGATGTATTGTACCATCACGGTTACAGAGGTCGTCTACTTTCTTTCCATCACGGTTACAGAGGTCGTCTACTTTTTTTCCATCACGGTTACAGAGGTCGTCTACTTTCTTTCCATCACGGTTACAGAGGTCGGGTACTTTCTTTCCATCATGGTTACAGATGTTGGGTACTTCTCCTCAGAGATGTATTGTACCTTCTTTACTTCATGGTGACAGATGTTGGGTACCCCTTCAACGTGATCGTGACAGATGTTGGGTACCTCTTCAAAGTGATAGTGACAGATGTTGGGTACCGCTTCAACGTGATGGTGACAGATGTTGGGTACCTCTTCAACGTGATGGTGACAGATGTTGGGTGCCTCTTCAACGTGATGGTGACAGATGTCTGGCACTTCCTCAACGTGATGGTGATAGATGTCAGGTACCTCCTCAACGTGATGGTGATAGATATCGGGTACCTCCTCAGCGTGATGGTGACAGATATCGGGTACCTCCTCACGATGATGGTGATATATATCGGGTACATCCTCAACGTGATCGTGATTGATATCGGGTACCTCCTCAACGTGATGGGGATAGATATCGGGTTCTTCCTCAACGTGATGGTGATAGATATATCGGGAAACTCCTCAACGTGATGGTGATAGATGTCGGGTACTACCTGAACGTGATTGTGATAGATGTCGGGTACTTGCTCAACGTGATGGTGATAGATGTCGGGTACCTCCTCAACGTGATGGTGATAGATATATGGGGAATCTCCTCAACGTGATGGTGATAGATGTCGGGTACCTCCTCAACGTGATGGTGATAGATGTCGGGTTCTTCCTCAACGTGATGGTGATAGATATCGGGTACCTCCCCACAATGATGGTGATAGATATATGGGGAACCTCCTCAACGTGATGGTGATAGATATCAGGTACCTCCTCACTATGATGGTGATAGATATCGGGTACCTGCTCACTATGATGGTGATAGATATATGGGGAACATCCTCAACGTGATTGTGATAGATGTCGGGTACCTCCTCAACGTGATGGTGATAGATGTCGGGTACTTCCTCAACGTGATGGTGATAGATGTCGGGTACTTCCTCAACGTGATGGTGATAGATGTCGGGTACCTCCTCACTATGATGGTGATAGATGTCGGGTACTTCCTCAACGTGATGGTGATAGATATATGGGGAACTTCCTCAACGTGGTGGTGATAGATATCAGGTACCTCCTCAACGTGATGGTGATAGATGTCGGGTACCTGCTCACTATGATGGTGATAGATATCGGGTACCTCCTCATCATGATGGTGTTCGATATCGGGTATCTCCTCACTATGATGGTGATAGATGTCGGGTACTTCCTCAACGTGATGGTGACAGATATCGGGTACTTCCTCATCATGATGGTGATAGATATATCGGGAACCTCCTCAACGTGATGGTGATAGATGTCGGGTACCTCCTCAACGTGATGGTGATAGATGTCGGGTACTTCCTCAACGTGATGGTGATAGAGATCAGGTATCTCCTAACTATGATGGTGATAGATATCGGGTACCTCCTCACTATGATGGTGATAGATATCGGGTACCTCCTCACTATGATGGTGATAGATATATGAGGAACCTCCTCAACGTGATGGTGATAGATGTCGGGTACCTCCTCAACGTGATGGTGATAGATGTCGGGTACTTCCTCAATGTGATGGTGATAGATGTCGGGTACCTCCTCAACGTGATGGTGATAGATGTCGGGTACTTCCTCACTATGATGGTGATAGATATCGGGTACCTCCTCACTATGATGGTGATATATGGGGTACTTCCTCAACGTGATGGTGATAGATGTCGGGTACTTCCTCAACGTGATGGTGATAGATGTCGGGTACTTCCTCAACGTGATGGTGATAGATGTCGGGTACCTCCTCAACGTGATGGTGATAGATGTCGGGTACTTCCTCACTATAATGTTGATAGATGTCGGGTACCTCCTCACTATGATGGTGATAGATATATGGGGAACCTCCTCAACGTGATGGTGATAGATGTCGGGTACCTCCTCAACGTGATGGTGATAGATGTTGGGTACTTCCTCACTATGATGGTGATAGATATCGGGTACCTCCTCACTATGATGGTGATAGATATATGGGGAACCTCCTCAACGTGATGGTGATAGATGTCGGTTACCTCCTCAACGTGATGGTGATAGATGTCGGGTACCTCCTCAACGTGATGGTGATAGATGTCGGGTACCTCCTCAACGTGATGGTGATAGATGTCGGGTACTTCCTCACTATAATGTTGATAGATGTCGGGTACCTCCTCACTATGATGGTGATAGATATATGGGGAACCTCCTCAACGTGATGGTGATAGATGTCGGGTACCTCCTCAACGTGATGGTGATAGATGTTGGGTACTTCCTCACTATGATGGTGATAGATATCGGGTACCTCCTCACTATGATGGTGATAGATATATGGGGAACCTCCTCAACGTGATGGTGATAGATGTCGGGTACTTCCTCACTATAATGTTGATAGATAACGGGTACCTCCTCACTATGATGGTGATAGATATATGGGGAACCTCCTCAACGTGATGGTGATAGATGCGGGAACCTCCTCAACGTGATGGTGATAGATGTCGGGTACCTCCTCAACGTGATGGTGATAGATGTCGGGTACCTCCTCAACGTGATGGTGATAGATGTCGGGTACGCCATCTTGTCCCCATAGTCCTGAATGCAATAAAGTCTTTACAGCATCGTGTTTTACCACTGGAAACATGCAGATTGGCACGGTAATTATTTTGTATGTTTTGGCGCACCGCAACTGGGAAGTAAACTGCACATGGGATGTCGACGGGTAAGCTTAAAGATCATCATCTTCAGCTGTTGAACTCGTGAATTTGTTGGCTTCAGTCAAGTACTTCTAGCAAATAACGATATAGTCAGCGTGTAAACTAACTTCAGTGTTAAATGGTTACCTTTATAACGCGAACTATTCTGCTATGCTCTTCAGCTACAGATAGGATTGTTGTTACTCAAACTCTAATTGCAAATATAGGCAAAAAAGTTCGTTGTATTTTACATGTATTTGGACGGTGTCTCCTGTTAACTTGCAAAGGCATCGCAATAAGGATTTTATAGCACGATCGAACTCTTCAGAATCTCAAGTATCTGTTTATCATGGATATGTTTTAAAGATTAAGATACGATGTACAAGGGGAAGTCGGGTGGGATGCAAACGTGACGTAAGCGAGGTTTGTATTTATATTAGTTATATTCCCCCTGAACTTGTCATCGCATTTTTTGTCAAACAGGACAAGATCAGGTACTTGGTTTGGATGCTTGTGACTTGGTTTGGATGCTTGTGACTTGGTTTGGATGCGTGTGACTTGGTTCGGATGCTTGTGACTTGGTTTGGATGCGTGTGACTTGGTTTGGAAGAGTGTGACTTAGTTTGGATGCTTGTGACTTGGTGTGGATGCGTGTGACTTGGTGTGGATGCGTATGACTTGGTTTGGATGCGGGTGACTTGGTTTGGATGCTTGTGACTTGGTTTGGATGCTTGTGACTTGGTTTGGATGCTTGTGACTTGGTTTGGATGCGTGTGGCTTGGTGTGGATGCTTGTGACTTGGTTTGGATGTGTGTGACTTGGTTTGGATGCTTGTGACTTGGTGTGGATGCGTGTGACTTGGTGTGGATGCGTATGACTTGGTTTGGATGCGTGTGACTTGGTTTGGATGCTTGTGACTTGGTTTGGATGCTTGTAACTTGGTTTGGATGCTTGTGACTTGGTTTGGATGCTTGTGACTTGGTGTGGATGCGTGTGACTTGGTTTGGATGCTTGTGACTTGGTTTGGATGCGTATGACTTGGTTTGGATGCGAGAGACTTGGTTTGGATGCTTGTGACTTGGTTTGGATGCTTGTGACTTGGTTTGGATGCTTGTGACTTGGTTTGGATGCGTGTGGCTTGGTGTGGATGCTTGTGACTTGGTTTGGATGTGTGTGACTTGGTTTGGATGCTTGTGACTTGGTGTGGATGCGTGTGACTTGGTGTGGATGCGTATGACTTGGTTTGGATGCGTGTGACTTGGTTTGGATGCTTGTGACATGGTTTGGATGCTTGTGACTTGGTTTGGATGCTTGTGACTTGGTTTGGATGCGTGTGACTTGGTGAGGATGTTTGTGGCTTGGTTTGGATGCTTGTGACTTGGTTTGGATGCGTGTGACTTGGTTTGGATGCTTTTGACTTGGTTTGGATGTGTGTGATTGGTTTGGATGCGTGTGACTTGGTTTGGATGCTTGTGACTTGGTTTGGATGCTTGTGACTTGGTGTGGATTTTTGTGACTTGGTTTGGAAGAGTGTGACTTAGTTTGGATGCTTGTGACTTGGTTTGGATGCTTGTGACTTGGTGTGGATGCTTGTGACTTGGTTTGCATGCGTGTGATTGGTTTGGATGCTTGTGACTTGGTTTGGATGCTTGTGACTTGGTTGGATGCTTGTGACTTGGTGTGGATGCTTGTGACTTGGTTTGGATGCTTGTGGCTTGGTGTGGATGCGTGTGACTTGGTTTGGATGCTTGTGACTTGGTTTGGATGCTTGTGACTTGGTGTGGATGCTTGTGACTTGGTGTGGATGCTTGTGACTTGGTTTGGATGCGTGTGATTGGTTTGGATGCTTGTGACTTGGTTTGGATGCTTGTGACTTGGTTTGGATGCTTGTGACTTGGTTTGGATGCTTGTGACTTGGTGTGGCTGCTTGTGACTTGGTGTGGATGCGTATGACTTGGTTTGGATGCGTATGACTTGGTTTGGATGCGTGTGACTTGGTTTGGATGCTTGTGACTCTGTTTGGATGCTTGAGACTTGTTTGGATGCTTGTGACTTGGTTTGGATGCGTGTGACTCTGTTTGGATGCGTGTGACTTGGTTTGGATGCTTGTGACTTAGTTTGGATGCGTTCGACATGGTTTGGATGCGTGTGACTTGGTGTGGATGCTTGTGACTTGGTTTGGATGTTTGTGACTTGTTTTGGATGCGTGTGACTTGGTTTGGATGCTTGTGACTTGTTTGGATGCTTGTGACTTGGTTTGGGTGCGTGTGATTTAGTTTGGATGCGTGTGACTTGGTTTGGATGCGTGTGACTTAGTTTGGATGCGTTCGACTTGGTGTGGATGCGTGTGACTTGGTGTGGATGCTTGTGACTTGGTTTGGATGCTTGTGATTTGGTTTGGATGCGTGTGACTTGGTGTGGATGCGTATGACTTGGTTTGGATGCGTGTGACTTGGTGTGGATGCTTGTGACTTTGTTTGGATGCTTGTGACTTGGTGTGGATGCATGTGACTTGGTTTGGATGCTTGTGACTTGGTTTGGATGCGTGTGACTTGGTTTGGATGCGTGTGACTTGGTTTGGATGCTTGTGACTTAGTTTGGATGCGTTCGACTTGGTTTGGATGCGTGTGACTTGGTGAGGATGCTTGTGACTTGGTTTGGATGCTTGTGACTTGGTTTGGATGCTTGTGACTTGGTTTGGATGCGTGTGACTTGGTTTGGATGCTTGTGACTTGGTTTGGATGCTTGTGACTTGGTTTGGATGCTTGTGACTTGGTTTGGATGCGTGTGGCTT